ATTATAGATTTAGGATATAGATGGCAGAGTAGGGGTAACCTCTTATGGTATTAATTTGTTGTTTTTCACTTTACTCCCAACTTCAGGCATCTGACCTCATCATAACTCTGGATAGAGGTCAGGAATATATACATTCCGTGTAAAAAAGAATATATTCATAATTTAGATGTATGTTAGTATTAGCACTGTTTTTGATAGTTGTATGTATATAGATAGAGAAGGCAGAAAGAGAGAGAAATAATAAAAGACAACAGAGAGTAATAAGAAAAAGACTGTAGGGCCTAGATCGATCTGTATTTGCTCTGAAGTAATATACAGTATATGGAGTTTACTACACGGTGTGTTTACTTAGGTTAGTAAGAAAATCAGTCTATTCAGACTTTCTACTTAATTTTTCTTTAAAATTTTAAATAAATGACTGTTCTTTACATGCTAATTTATTATACTTAAAAATCATACAATATTTTATGTAATCTGAATTTAAATCTTTGGGAAATAATGGGCTGTTTTTTCATCCTAAAGCTGATACTTGTTAATTATAGAAAACCTGGAAACATCTGAAAAAGTGTCTGGAATAAACTGTAAATCTCCTTTGTGAACCTACCACTCAGAAATAATCACAGTTAATTTGGTTTATTTCTTCCCAGTCTTTTAGAAAATAAATTTCTTAAATTGGCATCACTTATATATCTTTCTATACTAGTTTTTTAACCTGTTATAAACACAATAACTTTTCCATATCTTTAGTTTTTAGATCATTTTAATAACTTCATATTTGTGTCATAATTATAACTTTTTTATATTGTCATACATTTAAAGTTACCCTTTTGCGTTAATGTTATAATTTTGCAGTGAACCTCCTTGTTTACAAATCTGTTTATCTGTGTCTGATTATTTCCTTTAAGATTTCTAGACAGTTAATTACTGAGTCAGGAAATGTAAATGTTTTCAAGATTCTTGATGAATATTGCCAAGTGGCCATCCAGAAACACTAATCCAATTTAACATCCACTAGCAGTATGTAAAATGTCTGTAGGGTAGTACCTCTGTCAGCAGTTGATATCATAATTGCATTTCAAAAATCTTTACTATTCTATTTGTGAAAAATTGTACTTTTTTCTGTCAAATATTGTCAAAATACTAAAAATGTTATTTTACATTATAGTTTTAAGTGTATTCATTGAACATTTGAAAAATTATACCTGGACTTTAATAATTTAAATTAAAATGTGATTTAGTAGAACATTGTCAACAACCAGGAGATTTGGAAATATTTGGTCGTTGTAATGGTCAGAGAGTCCATTGGGAATCATCATTTGATTAATAGACTTTCGCTTGAACTTTAGATCTTGCCTCTGATGATTACTTTGATTTTTAGAGTAATTGTTGTCAGTTTTCTGTTGTCTTTTAGTTTTGCCAGATCAACAAGACTTGACATACTGTCTTATTAAAATAACAACTAATTTATTCAATAATAATATTGAAACAAAGCAGCTTTAAAAGCAAGAGAAAATTCATACTGAGAAGTATTTTTTTATAGAAAAGTAAGTCCTTGCTCTTTTATAAAGTTTTTGAGAATGGCCGTTATAATGTAGGAATATAAGAGTACTGCTTTGAAATTAGACTTTTGTGATAATTTATTAAGATTATGTCATGTGGCCGGGCGCGGTGGCTCAAGCCTGTAATCTCAGCACTTTGGGAGGCCGAGGCGGGTGGATCACAAGGTCGAGAGATCGAGACCAACCTGGTCAACATGTTGAAACCCCGTCTCTACTAAAAATACAAAAAATTAGCTGGGCATGGTGGCGCGTGCCTGTAATCCCAGCTACTCAGGAGGCTGAGGCAGGAGAATTGCCTGAACCCAGGAGGCGGAGGTTGCGGTGAGCCGAGATCGCGCCATTGCACTCCAGCCTGGGTAACAAGAGCAAAACTCCATCTCAAAAAAAAAAAAAAAAAAAAAAGATTATGTCATTTGCTTACAATATTTATATTGGGTAAGTTGTTTAACTTCTAGGTCTCAGTTTCCTTATCTATTAAATAAGATTAAAAAGTTTCTTATAAAGGATTATGAAAGTTAATACACATAAATTATTTATTTAGCAGATTGTCTAGTATTTGGTAAATGCTAAATAAATGCTGGTTATAGTTCAGCAGATTTTGATAGATTTATTTATTCAACCAGTGTTTACTGAGCACTTACAGTGTGCCACACACTTTGTAGACATTGCTGATACAAACTGACAATCTCTGATGGAACTTACACTGCAGTTAAGGAGGAAGGGGTAGAATTTATCTTGAAAATTAGAATAACCATAATAAGAATTTAAAAACTTGGGATAAATGGCCTTATAATTAAAGAATGACCTCTGCCTTTTGGGGGAGGAGTACCTTGCACTGTTTTTGTTTCCTGTATAAGTTTTATTCATATGAAAAGTGATGTGATTAGTATATGTTTTTTTTCTTAAAAAAATTTTTTTTTCTTTTTTGTTTTAGAGATGGGGTTTCACCATGTTGGCCAGGCTGGCCTTAAACTCCTGACCTCAGGTGATCCGCCCGTCTCGGCCTCCCAAAGTGCTGGGATTACAGGCATGAGCCACTGCTCCGGCCTGCTTTTTTTCATTTGGGAAACTCAAGCTGCTAGAAAATAAAGCATCTGATTTTTACATGGTAATACATGTTGGAATTAATGATACGATAATAATTTTTCTGAGAAAGTAAGAAAGAATTGCTTTGTTGGTAAATAAACAGCAGAGTACATTTACATTTTAATGTAAATTGATAGAAATTATCTTCCTTCCTTCCTTCCTTCTTTCCTTCCTTCTTTCCTTCCTTCCGTTCGTCAATCCGTCTCTCTGTCTCTCTCTCTTCCTTCCTTCCTTTTTTTCTTTCTTTCAACCGAGTTTTGCTCTTGTTTCCCAGGCTGGAGTGCAATGGCATGATCTCAGTTCACTGTAACCTCCTCCTCCCTGGTTCAACTGATTCTCCTGCCTCAGCCTCCCTAGTAGCTGCGATTATAGGTGCCTGCCACCACACCCAGCTAATTTTTCGTATTTTTAGTAGAGACAGGGTTTCACTATGTTGGCCAGGTTGATCTCGAACTCCTGACCTGAGGCTGTCCATCTGCCTCAGCCTCCCAGACTGCTGGGATTACAGGTGTGAGCCACCAGGCCTGACTGAAATTATTAATTTTCTTTGCTTAGCTGTTAAAATAGGCCTCCAAAATTAAAGAAAAATATAGCATTTATTTTTTAGAGTAATGTTTGTTTAAAAATTACTTATGAAATAGTTTTGAGTCTCACTAAATCCCCGACTCCCGTAAAAACAAAGCTGAAAGAAATTGTACTACTTATATATGGCAGCATTACAAATTACCCTCAAACCCAGCACTTAAAACAACAACATTTATTATCTTAAAATTTCTGTGAGTTCTGAATCTGGTCACAGTTTAGCTCTAGCTTAGACTCTAGCTAAGAGTCTCTCACAATGAATCTGTTGCAACCAAGGCTGCAGTCATGGTGTTGGCCTGGGTTTCAGTCATCTCGTAGTTTGACTAGAGAAGGGTCTGGTTTCAAACTCACTCAGCGATTGTTGACAGAATTTATTTCACTGTGGCCCATTGAAATGAGGGCCTCAGTTTCTTGCTGACTGTTGGCTGGAGGCCTTCCTCAGTTATTTGCTTCTCCATGGGACAGCTCACTGTAGGGCAACTATTTTTCTTCAGAATAAGCAAGTGGGAGAGAAAAAGAACAAGATGGAAATGAGTCTTCATGTAACCTAATCTCAGAAGTGACATTTTATCACTTCTGTTGTATTCTGATCTTAAGTCAGTAGGTTCATCCATTACTCAAGGGGAAAGAATTATTCAGTGACATGAATAGCAGGAGTCAGGAATCATTGGGAGTCTTTGTAGAAGTTGCCTGCCTGGAAAAGTAAAACATCTACAAAAAACTAAATGTTAAAGTTTCTGTGAGCCCTAAATACAAGAGAATGGGGTCAAATCAGAAATGCAAGACTTCATAGGGAGTAAGCATGGAGAAACAATGGATCATCTGTTGGACCAGAAAATATGAAAACTCCCAAATAATTTACTTACTAGAAAACACAGTGGACTGATTTAAGAAAAGGAAGCGGAATTGGAATGGGTGCAAGTAATATGTTGTAAGATTGAAGGGGATACATCACCTGGGCATTATGAACTTTCAAAACTATGTAGCCATAGCTCCCTTTAAGGCTAAAACCCAAACTAAGAGGAAATTCCTGGAATGCAGTCTAAATTGAGCAATACAGGGACAATAGAGATAAAACAGAAGAATCAGATGAAAGTGGGAGAGGAGAACACAGCCAGAAAATCTGTGAAAACAAGCTGCTTTTTGAAGCCCACACAAAAACAACAGAATGACCATGCCTTCATGTAGACGTTCAGAAAAACTGATTCACTTAAAAATTAGCAACAGAAAATGATAGAAGTAAAATCCAAGAGAAAGTTATCATAAAGGAAAAAAAAAGGAGTAAAATAGTATCTTAAAGACCGTGAATGAATGTCAGAAAGACATGCCCCCAAAACAAATGAGTACTATTACCTACTCTTTCAAAACAAGCAGAAAGAAATTAAGAAAATGTTGTAATGAAAGAGAACATAAAAATATAAATTAGAATTTTAAAAATTCAAAAATAAGGCAATATAACTCAGAAAAGAATAGGGAACATGTATATACAAAAATTAGCCAGCTATGGTGGTGCATGCCTGGAGTCCTAGCTTGTTGGGTGGCTGAGGCAGAAGGATTGCTCGAGCCCAGAAATTCAAGGCTGCAGTGAGCCATGATTGTGCCACTGCACTTCAGTTTGGAGACAGATTGAGACCCTATCTCAAAAAATATGTATATACAACTTCAGAAATGAACCCCAATCTAGAGGAGATTCAAGAGTAAATAAAATAAGCACAGGTAATATGTAAAGCGATACTAAGTGAAGAAAGGAAATTGTTTTCTTTTCCACCCAGGATCTGTTGTGCCCCTCAAGGAGAGAGAGACCATCATAAGGTTAATCTGAGGTGCCAAGGACATCTTTTCTATGTGTTGCATAAGTCACATGGGTGAAGCCAAGTGTAACAATTATGCAGAGCTGAGGGAGGGAAATTGTTTTTTTTTTGTTGTTGTTAAAAAAAAAGACAGCTAAAAGATTTAAGAGAAAACAATATTGAAAACAAAGATAATCCAATATATGGATAATACAAGTCCCTGAAGAAGAAAACTTTGGCAACAAGACAGAACAAATTCTAAAAACTAAAATAAAACATTCTTGAAATTAAAAAAGATTTGAAATGGCACACTGTATATCTAAGAATATTTACTCAGAACCATTACAACTGATATAAATGCACATAAAACCAATGAACTTTAAAGAAAAAACAGTCTCCTGGGCACCAAAAAGACTAAATGACTGAGAAAGAAAGATTATTATCAGACTTTTAAATGGCAGTGTTTTATGCCTGAAGAAAATGGAATAATATATTTAAGATACTCAAGGAAAGAAAATGTAAGCCAATGGGTAATGTGTGGATTTCTGTATAGCCAAATGAATTTCAAGTGTGAAACCCATGAAGAGTCTTTATTGATGTGTTAAAAACAAACAAACAAACAAAACAAAAACCTCAGGGAATGTTTTCCCTATGAGCTCTTACTGAGAATTTTCCTAAAGAGTAAGCTTCAGACAAAATTACTAACACGATATGGACTTAAGGATTGGTGGCTAAATTTAGATACTTCTTCCTCTCTTAAAGACTTCTAAGTCACAGGCACTTCATTGGCTCAAATTATTTTAAATGTTATGCTGTAAATGTTTATGATTTGGTGATATTCATTAATATAACATCCTTAGAAAGAAAGAGTAATGGGTCTCTGCATTTAAAGTACTTTCTATATAACCATGACTCCTTTTGGGAATGGATACACTGCTTTGTTACATAGAACAGGATTTCATAATCCCAGCACTGTTTATATTTTGAGCTGGAAAATTCTTAGTTGTGAGAGCTGTCCTGTGCATTGTATGATGCGTAGCAGTATTCCTGGTCTCTGTCTAGTACATGCAGTATGTTTTGTCTCTGTTGTGACAAACAAAAATGTCTCTTCGTTGCCAGTGGTAGCCTAGAGGGCAAAATCAGTCCTAGTTAAAGAACCACTGCTTTAGAGAAGGGTTAAATACTGCTACAGGGAGCCTGTTCTGTTGCATTTGATCAACCATGAAGACCCATCTTTAAATTTTAAGAGAATGAAAACCCAGTAAAAGAAATAAATCAGCCAGATAAGGCCATTACAGATTGGATTATACATTTCATTAAAAAATATGTATATATATATATACCTATGTATACATACATATCATCTGTGAGTAATCATACACTCACTGGATCAGTCCTGGAGTTAGACACAGTATGCTAATTTCAAAGTCTCAGTATACGATACAATAAAAATTTTATTGAGAATTTTAATATGAAATATATTTTGTTCCATATTTTTATATTTAGTCCTTAATCTTACATTTCCCAAATTTTCAGTTTTTTCATATTAATCTTCTGTACATTTTTAACATACTGAAACCCTTTTTAAAAGAAATATCTTCTTGACTGTAACTTGTACTACCATTTTTTTTTTTTTTTTTTTTGAAACGGAGTATCACTCACTGTGTCTTCTGGGCTGTAGTGCAGTGGCATGATCACAGCTTACTGCAACCTCCACCTCCTGGGCTCAAGCGATTCTCATGCCTCAGCCTCTGAATAGCTGGGATTACAGGTGTATACTACCATGCCTGGCTAATTTTTTTATTTTTCATAGAAACTGGGTTTCACCATATTGGCCAGGCTGGTCTTGAGCTCTTGGCCTCAGTTGATCCGCCCGCTTGGCCTCCCAAAGTACTGGGACTACAGGCATGAGGTTCTGCGCCTGACCAACTTATATTACTTCTGTAGAGAGACTTAGTTGTTGATATATAGGAAAGGTACCTTGCCAGTGCTTGTGGTATATAAGAATATAAGAAAATACTTACAAGTTTGTAGGAAAGGCACATCAAGTTTTATCAGCTGAGTACTCAGTACTTGCTTAGTGTAACTAAGCCCTTAAAGTATAACATGTTGATTATGCTTTTGAATAAAGGTCAGATTATCAATGGTCATTACTTGCTAGCCTTCCAGTAAGTACCAAGTCTTATGAGAGTAATGGACGTATTTTCACCTGAGATAAAGAACCTCTGCATTATCTGTTATGATTTTTCTTGGAAATACTTTACTTGGATTGATTAGAGGACTTCACCATAACTCTGCTTTTCAGGCTTTTAAAAATGGAGGTGTTTTTGCTGATTGAATTTCCCAGGACAGTATTTCACCAACTGTCTGTAAGATGTAAAGTTTGTGGGTGGGAGTTTCAGGAAGGATTTGTGAATCTGACAAAAGCTGCTTATTGTATCCTATAGATTTATAATGCACATTAACATACTTAAGTATTCTTAGCTAAAGGAACCTGTTTAAACCCATATTTCTCAGAGTTAATTGATAGGGAATCCATTTATGGTGCAGTGTCTATTAACATTTTGAAGAACAAATATTTTATGGGCCAGTTGTGGCAGAACAATTCTGGTATAAGATAAAACTTGCTGTTTCCTCAGTAACTGTTCAATGACCAGTAAAGGAGAGGTATAACAAGTATTAATATAAAAGTTGTAGAGAATTAAGAGAAAAATTTGAGGATGAAGGAGGGACACTAGTATATATTTTTTTAAATGAGAGAGTAGATTTAAAAAGATGACTTGTGAGAAGGGCTATAAATTGAAATTGTGGAATTATATTTGGCATATGCTACAAAATTTTATAAAAGTAGAATATTCACTAGCAAATGTACTCTAGAAATGAAGTAGAAAACACAAATGTACAACATTAGGTATCAGAACAATACATGGCCATAAATTTGGAGGAGATTAAAAAAGTGAGAAACCTGTGAAATGAAACTAATACTAATAAGTTTAAACATCTGAATCAAAAATTACTTTTTTTTTTTTTTTTTTTTTTGAGGCAGAGTCTTGTTCTGTTGTCCAGGCTGGAGTGCAGTGGCATGATCTTGGCTCACTGCAACCTCCCCTTCTCAGGGTTCAAGCAATTCTCCTGTGTCAGCCCCCTGAGTAGGTGGGACTATAGGTGTTTCCCACCATGCCTGGCTAATTTGTTTTGTATTTTAGTGGAGACAAGTTTCACCGTTTTGGTCAGGCTGGTTTCAAACTCCTGACCTCAGCTGATGTACCCCTCGGCCTCCTAAAGTTTTGGGATTACAGGCGTGAGCTACCTTGCCGAGCCTAAAATTTACTATTTTTAATGGGAATATTTAACGTGTTGAGAAAATAGCTGACAGTTTATTAGGGGTTAAATCACTTGCTTGATGTCATATATATTAACCAGTGGCATTACTAGAACTTGAACTAAAGTCCTTTTTGTCAACAATGTCTGTAGGCTCACCTGTTGGGCTCTATTGTTTCATAATGAAGAGAAAGGAAACCTTGGAGAACAAAACTTAAGAAGTGAAAAATGAGCTGGGTGCAGTGGCTCACGCCTATAATCTCAGCACTTTGGGGGTCTGAGGTGGATGGATCACTTGAGCAGTTCGAGACCAGCCTAGGCAATGTGAAAAAGCCCCATCTCTACTAAAAATGAAAAAAATTAGCTGGGCATGGTGACACGCACCTGTAATCCCAGCTACTAGTGAGGCTGAGGCACGAGAATTGCTTGAACTGGGAGGCAGAGGTTGCAGTGAGCCGAGATCATGCCACTTTACTCTCGCCTCGATGACAGAGCTAGACTCTGGCTCCAAAAAAAAAAAAAAAAAAAGGGAAAAATGATTCTTATGATTGAAAAAAAAATCCAAAGCTTAGAAAAAGATTGAAAGCAGTCTGATTAATTTTGTAATAAAATCTGACCAAGATTATGTCAAGATTTAAATCGAGACCAGCCTTAATTATAACCATCAATAATTAAATATAAAATTAGCTAATTCAGTAACACTACAATGAAGAATATATTATAACACGTAGAGGGCTATGTTAGATTCATTGAAAATCAGGTGTGAAAAAAATTTATGGTCATCTCAGTAAATGAGGAAAATAACTTTATAGAATATTTAATCAGAAAACAAACATGCTCAATGGAGAAATGTTAGAGCAGCGGTCCCCAACCTTTTTGGCACCAGGACAAGTTCTGTGGAAGACAGTTTTTTCATAGACTGTGGTAGGGGGATGGTTTCAGGATGATTTAAGCTCATTATATTTTTCATTAGATTCTCATAAGGAGCACGCAACCTAAATCTCTTGTATGCACAGTTCACTGTAGGGTTCACACACCTGTGAGAATGTAGTGCCGCTGCTCACCTGACGGGAGGTGGAGCACAGTTTCGCTTGCTTGCCACTCACCTCCTCCTAACAGACCAGTACCAGTCTTTGGCCTGAGGGCTGGGGACCCCTGTGTTAGAGTCCTTCCATCTATCATGGAGAGATGATATGATATTCTGCATTATCTTTTTAAAATAACATTGCTTTGGAAGTTCTAGGCAGTGCATAAGGGAAAAAAGTACAAATGTTGGAAAGGTTCTGTGGTTTGATTTGTCTTCACCAAAACTCGTAAGTTTGATCTCCAGTGGGGCAGTGTTGGGAGCTGGGGTTTAGCAGGAAGCATTTGGGTCATGGAGGGTGATTAATAGGCTAAGACCTTCCCTTAGGCATTGAGTGAGTTCTGCTCTGGGAGTGGATTAGTTCCCAGGAAAGTGGGTTGTTACAAAGTCAGGACACCCCTCTGATTTTGCCTCTTCACAGTCTGACCTTTCACCATGTTTTGACCTAGCACAAAATCCCTCACCAGAAGCTCAACAGATGCTGGTGTCATGCCCCTTGAAATTCCCATCCTGCAGAACCACTGGCTAAATAAGCTTATTTTCATTATAAATTACCCAATCTCAGGTGTTCTCTTATAGCAACGCTAAACAAAGACGAAAGAAGAGAACATTATCACTACTTTTAGGTTAAATAGGAAAGCAAAGAAACAATGGGAAAACTATTGGAACTAATGAGAGACTTCTATAAAGTGGTCAGAAT